AACCAATTCAAGTTGGGCATCATTTGGATGGTTGTTATAATTTGAGGGGAGCAAATGTTTGTTTGACAACAATTTTAGCATTTAGTTATAACATTTTGAAAAAAGCAAAATCTTCCATAGTACTCCGTAAACATTTAAATGTAAACAAAGAATTGAGTAAACATAATGAAAGAATTGAGTTTTTGCAAAAAAAGAAAATATTTTACGTTGCTTTATGAAAAGTGTGTGAATATCTATCCTATGTTTTTCATTTTGGACATTAGGATTGCGAAACTATAATACTTTGAAAAAATATCTAATTGCAGCATAATACTTTAAAAATTTATCCAAAATAATAATATTTAATGAAAACATTATCCTCCAACATCATGACATATATTGTGTTTATTAAATTTATAGAAAATGCTAGAGTGCCTCCAAATGGTTGCTACTATGGGTGTACCCAAGTTTCGCACAGATGATCATTATCTGTGTCGCATAGATGATTATCATCTGGGTCCTCTGTGCGAAATTGGGTACACTCATGATATCAACCATTTGGGGACTCCCAAACCTGGTCCTAATTAAATTTATTTCTAGTTTATTGGTTACTCTTGTGTTTGCAGTCTGTACAAAAAAAGAGAATTTTTTTTAATACTTCGTATAGTTAAATATAGTCTCATAATTTTTTATATATGATTGTTTTATATTTTCAAAAAAAAACACTCAATTATTTCACTACAAAGTATTTATAAATGTAAACTTGCTTATCAAAATACTCCCTCCGTCCCATTTTATATTGTATGTTTTGAATTTGGGGCATATTTAAGGAAGTGAAAAATATTGTTGATTCAAATATAAACTCCTTATTTCTCCATTAATCAAAAAAAGAACGATGTAATTTTTATTTTTTATTTCCCTACCAATTTGTAAATAAAATGATTTTAAAAGTGATCATATTTTGCACATTTTTTCGAAATGTTGTAAATAATTTAGGACAGAAAGAGTACTATTATAAGAATATACTCCATATTAATGGTAAAAAACGAAAAATGAAATTTATCGATGAAGTGAGTGATAATAGTTTTCACTTCTCTAAATGGAAGGTCCCATCCACATGGGAAGTGGTCAGTTGCATGCATGCATGCACGCACGCTATATGAGAAGAAACAATATAATGGCTTTACCAGAGTAATAATACGGAGTAAAAAAGATGAGATCCATCTCTGAGGGCTCTTCAGATTTGATGAGACGATTACTGAGATGAGAGGTAAATTATACTCCGTATTAGATTTGATCACAGGTTGGCGACAAAGAATGGAGCGCGAACATGATACTTGCAGTGGCAAGAATCGAACTCATCGGTTCTAACCTGTTGGCACTCCTTACTCGCGTAACGCCCATCGGATCAATTACAATAATAATGAGACCACAAAAATTGTACCCTCTCTGTCCATTTCAATTAAAATTCTCACGTATTTTTCCCAAAATTGATAAAAAATTACAAATATTGATAAAATTTATGATGGAGTATGGATCACTGGATTGGGCAATAAGACACTTGGGTTAAACCACATTAAAAGATTGAATCCAATCGATTAGTTAGTTCAACTCAAGAGCTTATATAGTAATTATTTTCCTCACACTTTTCCGATGTGGGATACTCTTAACACTCCCCCTCAAGTGGACAACCGGGCCATTTTGAATCTAACCGGTTGACCACTTGCAAATGAACTACCATTCCCTTGACTTTTTTTTTGAGCGCCAACACCGAAAAGACCACGAGCCGCTGGGTATGGACTTCTAGACGAGCAATCGTGTTAAACAGGCCACAGGCCGTTGGGTACATACTCCACACGGACAACTGGGCTAAAGACAAACGGGCCGCTAGGAATGAACGTCTAGACGGACACCTTGACAAACGAGGTCGGCTAAAACTGGCTCTGATACCATGATAAAATTTAGGATAGAGTATGGATCACTGGATTGGGCAATAAGACACTTGGGTTAAACCACATTAAAAGATTGAATCCAATCGATTAGTTAGTTCAACTCAAGAACTTATATAGTAATTATTTTCCTCACACTTTTCCGATGTGGGATACTCTTAACAAATATGTAATATAGTTTAAAATAAATAAACTCTATATAAAATTTGATACATGAAACTACATATATCTTAATATAAATTTAATTATATTAAATACACATTATAACTAAATATTTTTCATATAATTTATGATTAAAGATTGTAAAATTCACAAATTTAAAAGTACTCGTATTTTTTTTTTTTGGAATTAAAGAAATACAAGTAGTAGTATAAATAAAGGATCTGCTTCTGCAAATCAATAGACCAGAGACCACAGTACAAATGTACAAAACGATCGGCCTAATACTACAAGATTTGTTTCTGCAAGTCAACCCTCTGGACAATTTAACCACCGGCTCGGCCCGGTCCATCTGGACCGGTTTGCGTTGACCTTGCAAATAACCTTTTTCCCAATCACGCATGTGTCCAAATAATTAATTCATTTTCCCCCCTCTCTTTCCAATTATTTTTGGTCATATGTGATATCGAACCGTCAACGTAACGGCGGGGCATCACATCTTTTCGGCCCACCATATTGCCTTCCCATATTAATGTTTCCAAAGAAAAAAAAAATTGGATTTTACTTGGTAGTGTATTACTCTCCATCTCTGTCGAAAAAAACTTTCTTGTTTCAAAAAGAGATGTGCCTTAAGAATATGTAATTTTGGTGTTATTTTCTAATTATAATGCATCTTTTCTACACATCATATCCTACACTATTATAAAGAAAAGGTAAAATTAGAAAATAACACCGAAATTATACATTTTCAAGGCGGGTCTGTGTTCAAACAGGAAAAAGTTTTAAGAACTGGAGGGAGTATTACTTCAACCTTCATCTCTGTAATTCCTTCCTGTATTAATTTTTAAAAAAATTTAAGGGAGTATAATTTGATATTAATCTTCCAAAAATGTCTTTGAATGTGATGATAAAAATAAGATCAGATAAAAAGATTAATAATAAATTAATATGATGTGATATGTGGAGTAAGAGTTTATAGGATAAAATTGACTTTTTTTTAAGAGAAAGTAGAATATTTTTTTAGACAGATCAAATGAAATGTGAAAGATGAAAGGATTTTCAAGACAAAGGGAGTATAATGTAAATTTAATATATTTAAATGTAAATTTAATATAGTTGAATTTATTTTAAGATAAAATTTCTAAAACATTTTTTTAATTATATATGATTATATTTATTAATGATTCATATGTGTAGAAAGTTGACAAAAAATGTAAAAATGTTTTTTTGGAGGGAGAGGGTATATTGTAATTACAGAGTATTATATACTTTCTTGTGAATTAGAAATTAATCTTGTGAGGTGAAATTAAAGCAGAGATTAAAGGTCTATTCACTTGGGTGGAAACCACTTGCTATTTTGTTTTTGCAAAATGAGGAAATTAGTTTTTAGAGGAAAAATTCCAAAAAAATTATTTTCCTCCTATATTTTTCATTGTCTGGTAGAAAGATTATTGTTTTAGAGAATTAATGGATGGAACTCAACCTGGACATAAAGATAAAATAAAATACGGAGTTAAAGAAAAAGACTATTTTTTACATTTTCCTTTTTTTCAGTGCCTTATTCAATTCTTTTTTTACTTTGTACTAGTTCCGTCCATGAATATTATATTTGTCTAGTTTTGACTTTTTTCAATCGATCGCTTTCAACCTTTGACATATTATCAAATAAAATATATATTCTATATTAATTAGATAAAATAATATTTTCAAAATATTAATATCATTTTGTATCAATATTTAATATCATTTTTATTTGATTTGAGATCAAAATTTAAAAATTTTGACCAAAAAGGTCAAAAGTGTACAAATACTCAGGGACGGAAGGAGTAGATAATATTTTATTTTTCATTTTCTTTTGTAACATTCTCCAAAAAAAATTGTTTTCAAAAATACATAATTGAAAATTTTTAATCTGAGAAGGGCAGCATATATTTTGTTTTAAATATTTGTATGATAAAGGAAAATAAAACCGTGGGAATTCAAGATAGAGGAAAAGAAAGGACATAAATGTTATTTTTGTTTTAAAAATAGGTAAGGAGAGCATTTGGGCTCTATTTAGAAATCATAGGAACTTTACAAATGACTTTTGAAAATAGATGAGGTTTTGATATCCTTTTTGTCAACCATAGGGGGCTCCCATGCAATTAGCCCATAGGTAGGACTTCATTTTTTTATACTCCCTCCGTCTCTAAATAAACTTCCGTTTTTGACTTTTTTGAGGATTTAAGGGAGGGATATTTTTGTGTTGGCTTTCCAAAAATACCCTTAATGTGATGTGTAGAAGTAAGATGTGATATGAAGATTACGGAGTATTAGGTAAAAGGTATGATGTGATAGGTAGGGTATGAAAAAGTAAGGGGTAAAAGAGATTTTTTAAGGGAAAAGAGAAGTTTATTTGGAGACAAAGAAAAAACGAAAGAGGAAGTTTATTTAGGGACGGATGGAGTATATGCTAGTGGTAATCTTTTTTATTTTTCTGGTGTGGAAACACTTATACTCCTTAAGTGGTAACTAGACTGACCTAGTTATTACTTGGACAAACAGGTTTAGCATCTGAATCTCTTATAGCTAGCTTACACAATGGGCGATGACTTCTCAATCTCTTATAGTCAACTCAACCCAAATCATGGTTGGATAACTCATACCTCTAAATTCACCTCCAAACAACCCGGTAAAATCGAACCCAGACTCGACGTGCTCCGATACCATATTAAAATTCCGATAGGCCAAGAACAATAGATAAAGTGCTGGATAAAATTAACCACTTGAATATAAAATCGAATTTCACTTTCTAGCCCAAAAGCTTAAATAATTTGATACTCCGTAGGTAGGATCAAAATTTCTGATGTGCGATACTTTAATAGATACCAAAAGACAAGGAGACACTTTCTAGTACAAAGCGTCGGATAAAATTAACCACTTGCATATATATTGACCACACCATTTTCACTTTATTAACTGGTTGCCCAAAGTAATTAAAGCTACTCGGCATACAATAAAAATGGAGGATATTGTTTGCACTAACATTTTTGTTGTATATATATTAATTAATTTCTTTTATAAATATGGAGTAAATTAATATTATACATACATAAATTAATTAAAAGAATAATAGTAGTGTGTTATCCAATAATAATGCTAGCTGGTTGCATTAATGAAAGTGAAGATTTGCTGGACAGAATTGGCCAAATCCTCTGCTGCGTACCTCGTTTCACTTGAAACCTGCACATATTATTCACATATGCCGCCAAACAAAATCATGATTAATTGGAACATGTTAATTATGGTATTTTAATTTAGGCATGTTTAAAACTTTTAATTATTTAGGCTCCACTGTCATGTTATTCTTAACACATAAGGGAGAAAATTAACAAATGTGGAAACTTACTTTGGAACAGTTAAAAAAGAAAACATGAATTTTTAAGTAGTTTTAGTGCGCAATATATAACGTAAAATCGATTGTACGGTGTTTACCGTACATCAGCAGTGAGTACTCGATCATTTTCAAGCAAATGAATACTCATTTTCGAGTAACTGAATGCTTATTTTTCTAAAGTTCAGTTATACTCGAAAGTGAGTATTCAGTTACTTGAAAATAAGTATAGATCCTCGTTAATGCACATTTAATTATTTTCAAAATTTATGTACTTCCGTCCAAAAATAATTGCAACACTCAAATTTTACTCTCTCCGTTTCAAGGAAATAGTTACATCTCCATTTTTTGCGCATCCCACAAAATACTTATACATCATCTTAAAATATTAAAATACCACCAAAACAACTCCTTTATTGCGGGTAAAATTTGTTTTTATTGGGAGATATTTTAACATTTTAGGTGAGGTAAAAATGTTTCGTATGATGCGCAAAATTGGAGGTGGAACTATTTTTCGAAACGGAAGGAGTACAAAATTTATGAAAAATGTTAAAAATATAAAGTTGTTTTTTTTTTTGCGACGCTAATTACCTTGACATTGAAGGAATAGAGTACGGTTTGGTCAACAGTGGTAACATTGGTGTGAAAAATGTTGAGGTGCAAATCCTGTTCAAGGGCAGAAATGACCTTTACCAGTTGCCCTTCCCTTTTCCTACACAATATCTTTATCATCCCCTCACACCCCAACAGCTTCACCTCCACCTCCGCCGCTCCGGACTTGCTCCCCGCCACCTCCTCGCACATTCCAGCCACCGCCCCGTACCCGTCCGGTATCGGCGGCAGGATTCGCGGAGGAGGCGCGGAGGAGCCGCCGGGTAGCCCCGGAGCGTCGCCGTAGAGCCTCCTCCTCTTCTGTGACTCGAGGCATTGCAAGAGTTGCTCTAGTTCTCTCACAAACTCAATTGCTCCCCCAACTATTGAAGCTTGATCTCCCTATGTATACATAAATTAAATAATGTTGAACTCCATAAATAATGTTGACCATAATGTTGGGGATAACGTGGATCAATTTGAGAGTCGTGTAACAAGCTGACGACCCCAGCTAGGGCCTCTGCCCCTTGGACCCCGCAAGGGCTGCCGCCCCTTGAACTCTGTTCGGGGCAGCTTGGAACCCCGTTAAAACGAGACTTTTATCATAACAAACTCAACGAAGCGTGCACTCCGACCACCAAACTTTTTTGATTACTATTATGATAACATTGGTCAAATCGTTTATCCAATTAGACTAAAATATATAACACATAATAATGCATATAATAATCTCAAAATAAGAGAGAAGGGTAGGTACCCTTTGGACGTAGGACGTGGGCATGAGAGATCTCAAGACTCGCAAATGCTCATTCATTTGCTTCCTCCGATTCCTCTCTACGGCTATGTGTGTCATTCTTTGGCTCTCCACTTCCTCACTACTCTTCACCCTTACCCTCTTCCTCTTCCCCTTACCATTATTCCCCCCTCCTCCTCCTCCCCTGACTGCCGCCTCGTTACGAAGCGGCATCAGAGGCGACTCCTCCAGCTGATCATTCTCCTCGAGAAACCTCATCTCCGTGCCCCCGTCATCTTCTCCGCTCGCGCGACCGCCTTCTTCCTCTTGCCCCTTCTCGCCCAAGACGGGGTACTTGAGGAAGTAGGCAGGGTCGAGCTCTGCCTCTTCCTGATCAAGTACCCTAGCCGTCTCGTTCAGGGTCAGTCTCGGTCCGAAGTCCGCGAACTGCATGACGTCCGCAAAGCTCAGGGATGCCGCATCGCCGCCGCCGCTGCTGCAGAACGCAGAGGCAAGCGGCGGCGGCGGGAGACGAGCGTTGACCATTGAGGAAGATGGTTGACAATCAAGAAGACTAGTTGACTTGGTGCTCATTTGGTCAAGAGAATATCCATAACTTGTTGGCAAGGAAGCCTGGAGTGGCTCATATTCAAACAAAAACAACATAGTGACTTGTGAGAACCACAACAACCTATGATAGAGTATTTATACGCAGACTTTGTCCCTGCTCAAAAATAAAAAGTCTATTTCCAAGAAATCACATCTAAAAATAAACTAACTCGAATCAAAACGATTATTGATATGTATGTGTGTGTATGTATGTATACCTTGAAATTTTCTTGTTTATCCATGTGTTATATATATAACCCTAAAAACCCTAATTGAAGTTCTTGAAATGGAGGGAAGACAGTCCTTAGCTTGATGGGATCTTCACAGCATATAGGGTCCACCCTTCTGCAGAAAAAAAAAGACAAAATCTTTTAACAAGAATAGAGACAAAAAGATGAGAAAGTCATACTATTATCAGCTAGCACAATGATCATTATTTAAACATGCACCTACATATATAACAGATTTCCAATTACTTTTGTTACCCAAAAAGTAAAAAAAACTAATTTTTGTTAACAGAAATGATCTTGCAATAATAAAACTGTATAATTAAGGATAGTTAATTACCAACCTTTGTGAAACTGATCGAGTTTGAAGAGTAGATGAGAGCTATCTTAGATATGAAAGAACCTTGTATGTGTTACATTTTTGGTCATACACGTATATATGTATGTACATATACCCCGAGAATATGTAGCATTGGGTTCAATAAATTATACAACCTCCCGCTCGAGTACTATTTGTCCAGTTTTAATTTTTTGTAGTAAAATTTGTATACTTTGACTATTAGTAAAATAAAAGTTATACTCTGTATTAACTATTGATACAGGAATAATTTTATATAAGATTTATTGCCTTTTTTATTTTTTTTTTAATTTTTTCTACTAAAATTTTCTTTCAGTTTCTTTTAAAAAAAGAATCAGGTTATAGTATAGATTTTACATCCTAACATGCTTACTAATCATTAACCTACTTATCCGGCCTACTAATCCATTTTTACCCCTACCATATGTTGCTTACTAATTAAAAAATTATTTTTACCCCTACTAATCATTAACCTACTTATCAGGTTATACCTTTTTTTCCTAATAATTTACCTATCACATCAAATGTGTTTTTTAAAAGTCAACACAAGATTATCTCTCTTAAATTTCCTAAAAGTTAAAACGGGAACGTTTTTATAGGACGGAGTACTTAATTCGATAACAATGTAACATAAAATGCACCATTATTACTATAATTTGTTTTAATTTTATTGGGGGAAAAATAAAAAGAGAGGAGCGTGGGGGCATTGGGGGAAAAGAAAGAAAGAAAGAAAGAGGATATGCATGTGGGTGGAGCTTATTAGTGGTACGTAGTATAATACTCTCTGTCCCATAAAACATTTCTTGTTTCAAAAATGGCACGCCTTTAAAATAAGTAATTTTAGTGTTATTTTTTAATTATGACTAATCTATTCTACACATCTCATCATACTCTTTTATAAAGTAAGGACAAAATTAGAAAATAACACCAAAATTATTCATTTTAAGAGCGTGTCTTTTTTGAAACAGGAAATGTTTTATGGGACGGAGGGAGTAATAAGTTTAATTTTCACCACCTCAAAATGATATTAATGGGACTCACAGGGTGAATCAACCTTTACCGCCTCACCTCTTCCTTTTCATGACTTTCTAATAAATACTTAAGCGCTTCTACTATAGCTACCTCATCTCCCTTTTTTTAATTTTTTATTTTAAAAATGTTAACTTTTTAATTTTTAAATTTTAGATTGAAAAGTGTTCAAATGAGAATATCTTTTACTGTGCAAATACGAGAATGATGCATTATATTTTACTCTTGTAGTAGTGCATTTTCAAAAAGATCAATTTATTTACGAAATTGACACCACGACTTTTCGGCACTACCGATTCCAAATCTACATATTTCTGTGCTACCACACAGCAAAATTAGAATCGTTGTCCTCAATTCCAATTTCATAGTTTGAATTTTGTGTACCAAACGGAGCCTCAAAGTGAGTTGATTTCATGCTAAGGAAGAAGACGAGGAAGGTCTCACCAGTTCAATTAGAGTTCTTAATCAAGTTCAAAAAGTCCAAATGACATATCCAATATAATTTTATTACTTCACATGTGTTATCATCTCATTATTTCAGCCAAACAAAAATAATTCCACACAATTAAGCTTAAAATTATCACAACATGATTGGAGTTGTAATGTAAAATCTAGTTTTTTTCGAAGTATTGGCGTGCAAAAGAGAATCTGAAAGTAATATCATATTATGTGTCAAATTTAAGAGTATTGGTGTGAATTTTCTTTTTACTTTTTCACATGTTTTTAATTTCCTTTGTTAGTATAAATACCGTAAGTGTAATGAACTTATAGACAAACACTTGAGGCAAATGATCAAGAAGAGCCAAATTCTATATATTGTGATACCATAAAAAGAGTTTTCATAAGATAAATGTTAAAGATCCAAATCGACCTCAATCTCAAGCTTTTCATTGGAAGTCTAGAAAAGATTTGGAACTCTAACATACATTCATATCACGTGAATGCGAGATTAGTTTATTTGAGACTTGCACATAATGACATAAACATGAGTTGTTAAAATAAAATAGGGGTAAAATTTGAACTCGTGACCTCTCAATCATCGAGATTTTGATACCATGCTTAGGAATGACTTAACCGAAATCTCAAATTTTATTGGTCTAGCTAGTATGGATTTTACACCCTAACATGTTTTACACTTGTCCAAGTAATGTTTAATTATTTTTCAATTACTAGCTAGACCAATAAAATTATAATGCATGTTTATAATGCATGTTTACTATTCACAGGGTCAAACTTCATTCACTTTCTTTCTCTATTTTCGTTAGTAATTTGATAAAATAAAATATTATTGTCACTACTAGTTTTGTAGATCTTTTGATGTAGTTTTTTAATATGTAATTTTTATTTTTTAATTATATATATAATTTGTCCTATAAAATACTTTGAAAATAATTTCAGTCAAACATCGTAAACCGAAACATGCGTTATAAATTGGGACGGAGGTAGTATTATTCTTATCGTTATTATAATTTAGAAGTACTAGAGGTTGTTTGGCAACTTCTAAATAGGTAAGTGCTGAACCAGTAAGAAGTCTGAACCATTAAGTGCTAAACCAGTAAAAGGTTTGAACCATTAAGAGCTAGTATATTGCTTAACTATTCAGAGGCAAATGTCTGATCAATTCAGATAAGAGGTCTTAACCATTCAGACTCTGTATAATACTTAACCATTCAGAGGCAAATCTCTTAACCATTCAGACATCTGAACCATTAAGAGACTGAAACAAACAGTCTGAACCATTAAGTGCTGAACCATTCAGATATCTGAATCATTAAGAGATTGAAACAAACAACCCCTTAGTATTTTTTATTTGTGTATTGCACAGAAATCTTTTCTAACGATTTAAAATACTAAATTTTTTAGAGACATTAAATTTGAATGACATGACATTGCATGGAAGATTGAAGACACATATGAACCTTGTAATCCCTTTGTCCATAAATGAAGTTCTTTTCAAATCATTTTATATGAAAAATGATATAAAACTAAAAAATAAAAATACATATTTATAAACTACATTAAAAGATCTACTACGTACAAAACTAGAAGTGACATGACTATATTATTTTATCAAATTAGACAAAAATAGGTCAATAAAATGAATAAAATTTGATCTTCTGAATAGTGAACGAAAACTTTATTATTGAACAAAGGGAGTATTTGATTCGAAGTAGAACTTATCTTACTCAGTAATATTTTACGGAGTAATATTTGCACTTTAGACATTTGGAAATTTAGAAAATTTTAAACGTTTAAAAGTAATAAGAAATCCTTCGTGGACAAACAAAAATGACATTTATGACAGACGGAGGGAGTACTAAAAATCAGAACCATACAATAAAGTTCATTTTTATTAAACATTATTTACATTTTAGGCAACGCCCATCCACGGCTCTTTATCCTATTTTTTGTCTTCATGGCAACAAGTTGCCCTAGAAAAGATAATTATGCCTCCAAAGAATAAAGTATGCAGACAATCTTGTACTACAAATATGCATAGAATTATAGGTTTCACCAAAGTACATGCACCTACTTGGTGACACCCCAAACACACTCCAAGAAACTTATAAGACCACATTAAAGAAATGAAGAGCACACATTCATTTTCTCGCGCATAATGGTGGTCGAGGGACGTATATATTAAGTCAAAGCCTTGCGCACGAGAGACCGATGGCTAACTTGCTGCTCGTAGAGTTCCCGGAAAATGCGATATTTTGCATCATGGTATTTCTTCACTTTGGGGTCTTTTGATGGGTAAATAACCTGTGCAACCAAAGAAACAAAAGGCCATCAAAACCTACGAAACATGGCACATAAGTGTAATGGGTGTCTCCCATTATGCATTTATAGTACTTTAGTTCTGAGCACATAATGGACTAAATCAAAACGACACATATCACGTTTCTTGTTTCTTACTTTCTATGACCGACCCGCAAGCCCCAACATAGTTCGAATTATACTGGGTTGTTGTCATTTTACCAATTATTTTAACAATAAAATAAGAAAAACCATTTAGATGGTGTGCAGTACATATATACCTGTCCGGCTGCACTCAGAGACTTCATAGCATCACGAATAGTGGCATATTTCTTTGAAGCAACAGCACCAAGGATAGCAGCTCCCAACAGCACAGGCTCATTTTCGCGTGGAAGGATTATGGGGTAACCTATTGAAATCAGAAGTGGAATTTCCAACACCATTTGGAATTTTTTTCGTTAAGAAAAAATGAGTCGAAGTTGTTGCGTAAAGCTTTTTTAAATTAAATTTTGTGTCGGCGCATTACAAGGCTTAACTTTGAATGAAGAGTTCATGCAAGCATGCATGAAAAATCAGTATGATAAATTCTTAGGAGGTTCCTAGAAACTTCCACGCACGACCAATGCAAAAACTTCAACTCTATCAACTCCGTATGTGTCAAATGACTTACTGTCTATAGATATACCTAAGCATCTAATGATCTAAACACAAAGCACAAAGGAAAAAAGAACACATCTCGCAAAATGATAGAACCAGAGTAGTGAGTGAAAGATACCAATGATATCCGAAATTTCTTGAATGAACAGTGGATTCTTAGCAAGACCGCCACAGGCAAGTAGTGTGTCAATCTGGAAGCAAAAAATTGTAAATGTTAATGAAAAACTGGATAAAGAAATTTGATATGCATTGATTTGTTCAAACATGTCAAACAAAGAGAAGGGACGAGGGGCTGGGGGGTAGGATTGGAGCACCATAGGTGCCCCAATTGAATTGGTGTCACAATCTTACACCATTTTTTGGGTGTAAGATTACCTTCCTCTCTATTAAAAAATAATCAAGCGCTTTTTCTAACAAAGCTATTCCATTGTTGCTGTGACTTTTTACTCCTATCAACTATCAATCAGTCCTATTCACCTGAGTTTGTTAATTTAAATTTGCAAAACACAGAAATCAGTACAGATTGGAGTGCAACTTTTCCATCAATCTCATCCTAAGCTCAATAAAAACAAAAGTCAGGTTACCCGGCTAAACATTTAATCATATTGCTAATTGCAAATCAAATGCACACCTATGATATAAACAGCGCAGAAATATAATTACATAGTGAATCAGCCATTTATAGATATAGAATGAAGACCTTACTTTATGTCCATTGGCATTAAAGTGCTCTACAATATGACGGGTACCATATGCAATACCCTGTAATGAGGCAAGGTAGAGAAGAGCCAGCTGCTTTTCACTAGTGTCGAGAGTTAACCCAGAAACTATACCTTTCGAATTAGGGTCTGCAAATGGAGATCTGATGTGCGAAGTTAGTACAGATTTCAGATACATAAAGAGGCACTTTCTAAGCTCATTAAAGCTGATGTGTTACCTGTTCCCGTGGAAGTCCGGGAGGACATGTATAGATTCAGTCAAAGCAGCAGTAAATGGGGCTTTGAGTTCATTTTTCATAGATTCTAATATCTTATTCAGCAATTCAAACACCGAAGTTCCTGCAAAATGTCAATTATCAAAGATTTACTAAAAACTAGCATATTAAACATGACATGGAACATGGCTGTTTAAAGGCACTGAAAAGTAACTTGAAGGAAATGACTTGCGATGGAAATAATGTTTGGAAACTGGAAGAAGTTACAAAATTTTGAAATATTTTACTTTGAGATGCAGCACAGTTAGCAAGATGTGGAGATGCCACATGATTTTGAATCACATAATCCAGCAATGAACCAGTGGCACTCTGACCGCCCTCTGTAAGCCAGTACTCAGGAACCATTGCTGAAAAATATCAGGTAAAAGAAGTGATTTCTACTTTGAACTCATTAAATTATAATGAATGCACTGCTGAAATTTTGATCAGTAATGGTTTCAAGTAATTGTAGATTTGTAGAAAAACTGGAATATCGTATAATACTAACTGTAATTACTGTACTAGTATTCAATGCAGGAATGATAGCAGTAAACTCTATTCTACACTTCTACAGATGAGATTTCAGAATAGCTACAACAAAATCCATTTGTCCTATGCTGATTAAGAGATGAGGAAAAAGTTGGATGCATCACTTACAGGGTACATTGCAGATTTACTATATACTACATATTTGGTTTCATATCCAGTAGGATGAAGTGATGAACACACCTCACCTTGGCGCCGTGATAACTATGAACATCAGTCGTTTCCAGAAGTGAAGGATGTAATGGACTTGCATGTAACATGAATATATGATCATACCAACTGATATAATCTTCTTTCATATCCATCATCCTATCTGATTTTCTTATAATTAATATCTCATTTCTAGAATTCTATCTGCCAGTTTCAATTCCTCATTTTTTTCCATATAGTTCCTCTTTTTCCCTATGCTTCCCTCTTAAAAACTTCGTTCCACACCATTGGAAGGTTACCATAAGAAATGGGCATGTGGACTAAGAAAACACTACACTTCGGATTGAGAACATTCTTTTACTTTTAACCTTCTTTTCTGACAAAGCATAGTGTTTTCTGTATTATTCATCAGAATCATCACCACAAAAGATAGGAGCTTGGGCTTAGATAGTACGTAGTAGGTAGTATTTTGTTTTAGAATGTTTTAAAATAGGGCTTTCAAACCATTTTTAATGCTAATAAATAGGCAAGGGTTCCCTTAACCTTGCCCCACCAGAAAAGATGGAAAATCATGGGAATTAAAGAAAGGGTGTTGATATATCCACTTCTTTTATATTAAATGGACAATTTTGCCCTTAAAAGTGGCCTTGCATCAAGATTGCTTCTTTTGTATTTTTGAGATAAAATTTGTCAATTTAACATGAATGGAGTAAATATAGTCAAAATGGGGATGGATAAAGCAACGCCCTTTAAGAAAAACATTGAATAATAAATTACTCCATATTTCTTTTAATTATATTGCTTTCAAATCACATCCCGAACCGTTAGCAACTTAGCCGCAAATTATATCCTACAGCCGGCTGTACGGTTCTTCCCATACATCCGGCATAAATTAAGAGATCTAGCCGTTTTGGGAGCCGTTGCCGAAAAGAGGCCGCGCAATTTGGGAGCCCCGGCCGATTAGAGGCAGCGCGATTTGGGAGCCCTAGCCGATTAGAGGCTGCGCGACTTGGGAGCCGTCGCCGTGCAAACCATTGCCTGCACTCCCTGTGTCAATCCGGCGAGACCGAGGAAGCAGCTGTGGTATTGCTTTAATCAACGATGAATAAGGCAAATTGATCGGGAAGCTCGACGGCGGCTAGGGCGGCTAAAGGTGTAAGATTATGATGAATTGAATTGAGCTAGTACACATTCTACTATGTCTTGGTACTCAATTGTATTCTGTGTAGTATTATATTCATTTTCAGCAATTTATTGGGTGATATGAACGGTACATTGCTTCAAAATGAACACTAAATTATTTGAGAATGAGCACTCCTTGTTTCAAAATAAACCCTACGTTATTCGTAAATGAATAATATAACTGTATTGAACAAATGTGTGAAAATGAACACTACGTTATTTCAGAATGAGTAATATGTCATTTCAGAATGAGTACTACATTATTTCAAAATGAATACTTATGTTTTGTGCGAGAATGAACACCACTTTACTTCAAAATGAGTACTACCCGGCTGCACCTTACTTCTGGTACAGCCAGTTGTACCATATATGGACTCCAACTTAGCAAGAGTAACATAAAAACTTATAATGATAACAATAATGTTGTGATAACAGTAATTATTATTATTATTATAAATACCCCCTGCGTCCAAAAATGTTCTTCGCGTGTTGACTTGGAACGCTTAATTAGGAGTAGAAAAAAGTGTCAAACTTCCAAGAATGCCCTTACTTTAATTTGGGTGGGTGGATGGGGGTTAAAGGGGAAGGGTATTAATGTGTTACCGACATTTACTCTTAAAAAGTAAGTTAAAAAAAGGAAATGGGAATAATAATTCCTAATAGACCGTAAAACAAAGTGAGAAGAACATTTCCGAACGGAGGGAGTAATAACAATAACAAACAAATGAGGTAGCACTCAAGTTTCCTGAAGAGATGGAATCATACCTGACCAGAAAGGACCCCAGACCCCCGGTATGAACAACTTTGTTTGAGAGACAGCCATGTGGCAAGTGGAAGTGCCACATACCAAAACCATACGACGACATATAGATTCAGCATCAGTTTCTAAACACACATTAAACTCCTCTACTAACTAAACTTGGTTGATAAATAAACATTACAATTTACTTAACAGAAAAAAAACCTTTTAATTCAGCATCAGATGTTGGCAAACTTTCCATTACCCCCACGCCACCAGCATGAGCATCTATTAGTGAGGTGCCTACAGGTGTCCCAGCCACCAAACCCAATTCCTGAAACAATATTCTAGCAAAATCAGTGAAAGAAAGAATGCAAAATGGGCCAATTTGATTGCAAAGCGAATAGAAACTATAGCTTGGATTCTGGAGTAAAAATAAAGCATGAATATTGTGGAAATTCTTGCCTTGGCAGCTGACGTGGTTAGACCAGAGCCCAATGCATGGCCAGGGAAGGCCACACTTTTCCCTGTTCATAATTTACAAAATACATAAATTGCAACAAATATTGCTCAACATAATATTTCCAAGTAAAAAATCTAACATATTTGACAAAACTTTTCATGCCCACTCAAGATACGTTGAAAGATAACTTTGCATACGAAAACAAATCAAACAACTAGTCTAATACCTGTAAGGCTGCAACTATTATTGGCCTGAAATTAGGATTGTGTCACAAGAATATGGGATGAAGGTGAAAGCTGTTTGAAGCTTATGGTGGGAGTGTGGGCTGTGGCATGCGGAAAAATGGAGTTGGTAGTGAAAAGGGACTTTAAAAACTACTCCCTCCATCCCATATCTTTCTTCTCACTTTCCTTTTCGGGTTGTCCCATTTGATTCTTCCCGTTTCCTAAAATAGAAAAAAATTATACCCAAAGTTACCCTTTTACCCTTTTATTCTTTTATTCTCTCTCTCATCCCCCAACACAAATTATCTCTTCTATTCTTTTATTTTCTCTTCTTTGATTTTCGTTCTTCACTCAGACCCCCCCCCATCCCTTCTTATTCTTCTTCTTCCTTCTTCTCTGTATCCGACT